CAGAGTCGCGTTGGGTCCTTCAGGGATTCCGCTGCTGCCAAATTGGATCTCTCACATCGTCTCTCAGCACTTACATTCGGCTTTCCCTCCACAGGATAAGTACGGCACTTCTTAGAACGGAACAGTCTTGAGAATCAGCGCCCGACTGCCCTCAGTTTCAGGGGTTTCCAATCACTCCCGAATGCTCTCAATTTCATGGTGACCCAACCAGAACCAGACTAATTCACTTGAGAAATTCGAGTTTCAAAATAAAACGTCAGAAGAACGTGGCGACTATGACGTGTCTTATAGAAGGGTACAGATGTGAATGCAGACGAAAAGACAAGCTGAAAATCACGAAGGATTCAACTAGGGACCATCGAAATTAATATTTTACTTCTGAGTTAATTCACTTCATCTCTCTCGAAAAGTAATCAACCTTTTCAATGTAATTTCATAGATACGGAATTGTTTATGATCGATTCTCAACTGATTTCACGGATCAGAATCCATCTTCAGACGCTAATAGTTAAACAACTATTCACGAAATGTCCAGCTTTTATTTAACTATAGGATTTGTTGCCATGTTTGAAAGAACCCATTCCAGTTGAAACCAGTCCACATACTGACGCCCAGCTCATTTAAAATCCACTTTAATATCATCCTCTTATCCACGCTAAATTCTGTTAAGTGACCATCTTGTTTGAGGTTTAGCGAATAAAATCGTGTAAAACTTCGCCATTATTAGTTTATGTAATGACGATATAGGTATAATAAATCTCAAATATGATGGAAAGGCAGTCGTGCATCATAAGCAAGCAAGGATTTGGAAGGAGAAGAAAAATAACATACGTAGAAGAAGAAAAATGATCAGTAGAAGAAAGGGTGTTGAACAAAAAGGGGTGGAGAATAAGAAAAATCATGAGGAAAAAGAATAAGAAGGTAACAGTATGTTTTTGAATGATGATTCCACATAATTTCCCGTTGCAACAGAAGAATGGTATGGTAGATCAGATTCCTGAATAGCGAGAATTTGCACACGGTCGAGGGAGACCGTCTGGCTCTGTTGCCGCTAAGGGTCACACTATCGGCAGCTGTTTCATCCCTGACCCACTAAGTTGGCTTACAAGTTGCCAGATAAGGCCACTGGTTGACAGTAATCCTCGCGTGGAACAAGATATCGCCGTCTAATTCAGGATAATTAGCAACTCTGAGCGGATATAAACCTTCATCTTGTGTGCTACGTTAGAGAAGATGGCAAGAAGTGCACGACCCTACCTGTTAACACTTTGCAGCATAAGAACCGCTTCAATTACTATTCTACCTCAAAATATTTGGTTTAATTCTTTTGGTATCTGTGCGTACACATTTCAGTTTCTTGGTAACGCATTATTTTATCCAGAATACTTGTAGAAACAATCGATTACAAAAATATTACTATTTAAATAAAACTGTATACTCCCAATTTTAGAAATATACAAAACATATACAAATTAAGGCTACATACAGAAATTCTTCAACACACAGCAACTTCAAAGCATAAACAAGAAATCCAAGTGTCCATATCAGGATTTAAGGCAGAAGTTATAACTGAGCCAGCGGAAACAACATTAGTAAAGTAAATTAGGAATAAAGTAGCCTATAACCATTTTGGTATTTCCGTACTTGTATACATCATAAATGTTTAGTTATTGTTGGATCTTATTATATTTTTAAGCAGACATAATTTATGTAACATTGCAAGTGTCCAGGTGAGAGACAATGGATGGGCCAAAGCTTATTGAACACAGAGCACACACGTTAGGTCTAAAGCAGTAAGTTTGTAAAAGAATTCTATTTCCAGTGCTTTCACTATAAAAGCTTTCCCTAATGTAATTACACTTAAGTATCCCTGGCACAAACAACAAGTTTCTATTAAGTAACCAACCGAGAGGGTGTGCAGGGTAGCACGTACGTTTACATGCCACAGTGCATAATATGACGAAGACAGCGGTGGTTGTGAGGGGACAGGCCAACTTGATTGAATTTGCTTTCCATTTATGATCTCTTGAAGTTCCACAGCGGTACAATTAACGTAAATAATAAAATAGGCTATTAAAGTAGATGGGATTATGTGGCTTTGATAATGTGCTGTGTGAAGTGTCTGAAGTAGGCAACATGCAGCAGTCGCAAATCCCTGTGCAGAGTGAAGTGTACAAAATAATGCTCCTCTGATATTGTCCTGTATCGAGTGTCTGAAGTGCTTCTTATATTCTGTTGTGTCCAGTGTTGGACATGTGAATGTTTTAGAGTTTCCGTTGCTGTGTATCATTTGAATTAACGTCTTATGGTAAAACATAGATTTTTTGTTTAGGGAATTGGCACTATGAGAGTTAAAAAGAGAAAATAAGCTCGAAAATCGCTTCTTTTTAATGCAGTAACTCAAGAACATACTGCAAGAAAATAGTATGGCGGATGCCTGTAGTACACAACATGTTCTGGCCATAGATTGCAGCAGTAAAACTTATACGCAAACACGGCAATTTACTGCCCTTAGCGCGGTCCTATGAACGATCTCATTCCTTGTAATTCCTTAACACATAAGTGTGGCAGGCAAAGGTGGCTCGATTCCTTTTATTAGTCTGCGTAGGGCGGGTACCTCCCCCTCACTAGCCGGGTCTATGAATCTCGGGAGGCCGATAAACTTCTCAGTGTGGCCTGGAGTGGGAGGCTGGGTAGCATAACGACGCAGTTACACCCAACCCTTACGCTGTAAAAGCGCTTGCAGGGGTGGATTCGTTTTACCGTTGGACCTCGGCGTAATTGGTCCGAGTTTTGCCACCAATGAGGCTCCTAAATAAGCCAGGGACGGGAAGTAATACGGGCCCTAGGGACATAAGAGATGGCGTTGCTTGTAGTGGTGGTGAGGTTCAGGCACAGAAGAAATGTGGAAGCTTGTGATTAACTGGTGTTAAAAAGTAGAAGAGGAATGGGAATAATAGCGAAGAGAATCCATACTCCAGGCAGGTCTATTAAAAGAACTTACTACACCTGACAGTGGCTAATAACCTAACCCACCACCGTCTTTATGGTTGTGGGGCAGTGCAGTCTGACTATACTACCTCCTGTTTTATGTTTACAATATCTTAAAAATCGACGCGACACTAAATGCACAAATTTTCTTAGCCTGTATATTTTTACTAGCGACATAAATTCGTTTACCGTGGTAACATAACATAACATCCTTGCTTTTCGACGGAACTTTACCAAATTCGAGTATATTACTTAAAAGAGTTCTTAAGCTAGTCAGTTTTGAACCATTTATCCGATGTACACCAACAACACTCTAAGACTGCTTTCACAAGTGGCTCATGTGAGCGGCTCACGCGAGCTGAAGCGACTGCTAGGGATAGAAATCCCAGCAAAATGCACTGGACCCTTTCACACGAGGCTCAGTGAGCTGCAGATCAAGCCAGTCTAGCCAACGCCTTTATACGGGGGAGGCACATTGTGGGGGGGACTCCAGTAAGTTGTTTCTAATAGGTAATATTTATTAATAATTTATAATATTTATGCTATAAAATATTACTATTACTTCCTCAAGCTCCAACATGATTTGATGAACGCTGCTAGTACACTGAAAATGTGTTGCTGGAGGAACTGAGTGAAGTTGGTAACTCTGGCGGAGGGTCATGTAAGCCGAACTCTGAATTGCTTATCGCCTCCGTATGAGCTGCATACCGGCTCAGCGAGCCCCTCAGTTGAGCGGCTCACGGGCTCACGTGTGAAAGCAGTCTAAATGGTAGGACTTTTGGTAAGATCTGGTCATCATCTACATCAGGGCATGTTTCAGCCAGACCACTTCACACGACACCGCTTGTTCAGTGTTCAGCCTTCATTAACATAATCGGACACTGCTCGTGATAAAGATCAGATTTAGGCCCATCTAACGTGTTGCACTGTACTTTTTTGACATTAGAACCTTTTCTTTTTGCTTCGATATTGTGACAGTCAACCTCTGGAACTACGGGTAGCAAGTATGTTTTGAGATTATCACGGCGGTGAGTCCGAAGATGATCTCCTGGGTTTTAGCGCTGTGTAATACCCCAGAAGTTTACCTTTCATACAGCAAGCAACACGAATCAGAAAGCTTGACCTTGAGTCCTTTGAGACTCGGCAAGGCCTATCCTCTCTGAGCTAAAAAATATCGTGCCTGTACACAAACAACAGCCTCCAATTGCATTACTTTAGTTTGTGAACACTTGTTACTTTATTCAGGAAACATTCCCTGAATGAAAAACTTACATGGCTCGTACCCGAATGACTGCTTTGTTTGCACCAACGGATCCTAAGTTTTGGAAAGAGAAAAATCATCTCCCCCTTTGACGCCTACGAAGCCACGGCCGAACGTTCAAGAACAATATTTCAAATCAATGCCAATACATATTTCTGATCCAGACAAACTGTCTGTGGGAAAGTTTTAAGCACCATACCTTGACCTGAAGACTGAAAAAGACAGCCCAATGAAAATGCTCCCAAGAAAATATTAAATCACTGAAACAAATTACTGAAGTCTTACTTAAATTATTACAATTATTTGTAGACTCTATACGAACACATTCAATATGCAGATAATGTCAGGATGCTGTTGTTTCTGATTTTTACGGCGAACATGGCCCATGTTAGAGCAACCAACCATACCAGTTCAAAACCTGTTATGTAATGTAAATGGGGAAATGGAAAGCGACGTTTACTAAGTAATATTATCACGTTTGTGAAAATTATAATGAATTGATCAGGTATAATTTTGCGGTAAAGGAAGGATTATTTAGACCCACAAACAGTTCTCACAGATAGGACTGAATAAAGACAAAAATTATGTGAATAAATAAACACTGTAATAACAAAAGCTTTGCAAGTAGTGTTATTTATATATTCGGTAATTCACCTTTGTACAGTGTAATTGAAACGAGTTAATCCATGGTAACCGAAAAAGGCTTCATTCATTTGTAAAGTACAATATGTTGTGTGTAGAACAGAACTGGGAGATAATGCCCTAATAACGATTTAACATGGTCTGGAAATTGTCGAAATATCGGCTGCAGTAGCGTTTAAAACATATTACCACGTCCCTGCAAAATCGTGCCGGAGTTTCGAGATAACACAGAACTGTAACAGTACATGACAGTATATGTAACCAGGAATATTTGATTAAACTTCCTCGACTTTCATTTTACTTATAAATAGCAATTATAATGCAACTGTCTGATCCGTTGTCCATGCAGTCCTTCCCAAATTTTGGGTTTATAATTTCATAAACATTTCTGTATCGAAATAGACCATAATGCCTAAAAGGTGAAGAAGGATAAATGTATGCAACTTACATGAAACTAGATTCCTTTCTAAATGCAGATAATCAGTTTATAATTCCTAACTCAGAGTATAATTTATAACTTGGGATTCCGTTACAAGCAGCTTTTACTAGAGGCCTACTTTAATTATTTTTGTACATATCTTTCGTGTTGAACTCCTTAAATGTAACAAATTCTATTGTTTTATTTTCTAGCTAAACAGAGAAACAGCACACCAGACACATAACGACAAAAGAGGAACACAGCAGTAACACGATTTCTCGCTGCAGTACGGTCGAAACATTTTTTTTTTGCTATGTGGTTAACTTCAGAAAGGATAATGAGACCATGTTCATCTAATGTGGCCTCTAAACCATAAAAGCTGTAGGCCCACTCCCCTGTTTCCAGTTCCTCTTTAGCTGAGGCATCGCGGGATTCCAGATTCGGCTAAGTAGTACGACCAGGCAGACCAATGGAGATAACAAAAGAGAGATTTGAACCTCGGGAATCGAGGTATAAGATCCATTCCGAAGTAAATACAGCTGACAATAGAGTGGGCTACATGTTTCATGATCTTGTGCCAGCATTGCTTAGTCTGCACGTGGGCTGAATACAAACAATTAATGTCTTCTGAGGTGAGTATGTTGTTGTAATATAAATGCCAAAATTTTAACATCTTACACATCGAACGCCCCTAAAGATAACATTCAGCCAAGACAAGTTATCTATTAATAATATATAATTTTGTGTATAAGATGGTTATTAAATTTAACTTATAAGCTCTTGCTTCTCTGATGATTTAAAAGATCGTACCGCAATATCTGAAGCACCATAGAAATATAAGACTTATAAAAACAATGAATTGGTGAATCGTACTCACCTCAGTGATGCTGTAAGGACCATTTTTCATCTGTCAGCTGCTAGATCAATGTAGCCGTCAAACACACGTGTTGGACAGGACACCCTGAAACAAAAGGCATGACATTTAAAATAATCTTCTGGTTTAATATCATACTTTGTTTTACGGTTTTAAGTCCCTTAATTTATAAGAAAAGATAATTTATGGTACGCATTACATGTTCATGTGTGCGTCACTTTGAATATATTTTTAACAAATTGACAGATTTCTGTAAAATTTGGTATACACATCATAATATTGTAAGATAGAGTACGTTTTCATCTATGTGCTGTATAAAGGTCCTCCATTACGTTTCTTGTGAATAAAAGTGTATAAAATAAACACATAACACTGGTCCGTAAATCGCTAACACAATTCGATTAAGTTTCGCGCTGGTCTTCATAATAAAGGTTTTCGCTCGAATTTCATTATGTCTGTATCGAGACACTGTAAAGCTACTTGATATGGAGGTTAATAGAACTTCACTAATTTTTCAAAATAGAGTTAATTATACAAAATTACAACATTTATTATTAAGATCTACAAGTTTCACAAGAAACGTAAGTCTGAATGCAATAGGTATATTCACAATTGAATAGCTGTTAAGAATGTGAACGGAATCGAAATAACTCTAAAATAAATGCACAGTTATTGCAAGGAAGACACTCAGAATCTCTGTGTACTGGAAGAAGTATTAACCAATACTTTATATACGGTAACAAATAAGTCGTCTTTGTGAAGACAATTCATACTTTCCTCTTATATTGCAATGAATTAGGAAGTTTGCGTGTGCCTAAATTACAATTTCTTTGGTTCAGATTACTTCAAGTCTTCTACGACGAAGATAAAAATGCATCACATCCTTCCTGTCGAAAGAGACTAACCTTCAAATCTGTCATCCTGACACGAATTCGCTCGACTTGCTTAAACATGTTACTAAGTCAATGATGTCAGGCTGTACTATATATGCTTGTTGCCATCCGTCTGCGTTTGCGGACAGCTAAGAGACAGACTGGTTCATGATTCCATCAGTTCATATGCATTAAGTGAGTAAGAGGAATTACAGAAGATACAGATGGCATTGCCTACAAAAATAACAGCCAGCCAAGCTGCCAAATATTATGGTATCACATTATGTAAATTAATGATTTTACTGCCGAATATTCCATTAAAATTACCAAGAATCTGAATATGGCAATGAAATTAACAGTATAGATAATGTCTGTTATTATTAAAGTATAAATGTTCTACTGTGTTTTAATACAATTTATTACAATTTTGGGGGGAAGGGTATTTCGCAGTTTTTCCCCGTCTCATTTGTATTTTGAGACTAGTCAACAGCATGACCCTAAAACTAGGGGGTGTATAAGGAAGACGGTAAAAAAATCACATAAATTCACCATTCTCTATGCGAGATTCAAAAACCCGCAATCTCAACATATGACAATAGACAATTACTTGTAAGTAACATTCTGACAAAGGCCGATGGTTGTTTACATGACAGCGCTAATGTCAGTGTCTGGTTGTTAAAACAAGATGGTGGGGTGGCCACATAAAGATTCACCTTGGTTGCGCTGTACTTAAATTTTGATAATTGCGTTAAAACATAAAAACAAAACGAGTTCTGTGTGATCAGAACGGAGAAAAGAACATTAAGCCGAGAAAATTAACCATGAACACACTATTCGTCTTTCCCTCTCTCGTACGCTCTTTCTACTCCTTTAGATTGCGTCTTCTATTTTTCTTTTCTTTATCCACTCACTCTGTAACCTTGGTTTCTCTGCTCTTTCTGTTAATAGGACTGAGTGAACTAAGACAGCAGCGAGGGAGTGATGCCGGTCAGAGCTCATCAAGCCGCCATTGCTCTCACCCCACAAAACCCCCAGTGAGCAGAGCAGGGGGTGAGTGCATGTTGGAGCCAATTCTGACGCGATCAATGAAATTATCGGGTAGAGTTTCTCCTGCACACTTAATAAAGACGGACTGCTATAGGAGACTGTTGTCGTAGTGACTAGAACCTGACCGAGAAGATCCTTGGTCTGAGCTAGAACAGTAGCGAACTTCGTAACATTCGTACCACGACTGCAGTCTCGGGTTACCTTTGTGTTGTACAGAATCTTAATAATAATTCAAATTAATTTATAAGTGTGCATGACAACAGCCATATAAGACAAATAACAGCCAAGCACTGACAACAGTACAGGGAAAAATATAATAACAATAAAAGTAAAACATTACAAATACAAAAACAAACAAATTAACTAAATATATAAATGTATCATATTAATAATGATAATAATTCAATTCAATTCATTTATTGCATAATAATTCACAAGTAAATGAGCTAAATAATGTTCCTAAGTAATATAATAATTAAATTCAGTGCAATTATAAACAATACATAGACAACATACAAAATAAAATAAAACATTAAAATTAAATAAAACAGTAAACAATAAAAACCAGAAAAACTTACAGAATGAAACACCCAAAATATGGACAAAGGGGAAATATTTAAACACAATAATTTCCTCAGTTCAACTGTTCATTACTAGTAAATGGGCTAATAAAATGCCTAAGCAAAAATTATAATAATAATAATAACAATACAGCTAATAAATCCTTCGAAAATGTGGCAAAGTTCAGACATTTCCAAGCGACAATAACAAATCAAAATTACATTCATAAAGAAATTAAGAGCAGATTAAATTCGGAGAATGCTTGCTGCCATTTAGTTCGGAAACTTTAGTCTCTTACCATCGCCTACGTCTGTATAAAACTTACAAATTAAATTATTCAGAACTGTATAATTACCTTCAGTTCTGAACGAGCGCGTAAAACTTATTCTCTCGCCCTAGAGGAAGAACAGGGAACGACAATATTTGAGAACGCGGCGCTGAGGAGAATATTTGGATCTGAGAGTGGTGAAGTAATCGAAGGCTGAAAAAGATGCGTGGTTTGGAGCCTCACAATTCGTACACGTAATATTAATACTATTTCGTTCTCATTATTGCGTGCAGCAATTACGGAGGGTAGAAAAATGCGTATTATGTTTGTCAGTAAACCTTTCAGGTTTACTGACAAACTTAGGTATATACTTAGGTATATATTGAATGATAATATTAAAATGGGCCTTAAAGAAAAAAGAATGTAAGGGTAGAGAATGGAATTACGTGACTCGTAATAGGATCCAATGGCTGATACTTGCAAACATGGCAATTAATCTTCTGGTTTCATAAAAGGCGGGGAATTTCTTGATCATCTGAGCTAATATTAGCTTCTCTCAAGATGGAACCTTCTCTTCCATGCAGTTAGACGAGGAAAAACTTCAGAAACACACAGAATGACCAAACTCACGGTGAAAAAATCACCTATATTTTTATGCTAAGTTACTATTAATCTGGTTTAAACACTACTAAATATACAAAATATTAAGTCGATTATTTTAATTATTGTCTTTTTCATCTTTTAACAAACCCTTAGAAGACGAAGTTCATCTAAATAACATATAAACATCCAATTCTTGCATCAAAGAAAGTAAAATCTTTTACATTACAAAGATCAAGTGGTTAAGTCTGTTTAAATAAATAACACTGTTTATTCTGACAATCATACAAAATCCATAAATACACTCTGTGGGCAGAGTACAGAGTTACTGATCGTTAAAGCAGGTGTTACATACGTTTACTGCTGGGTTTTAAATGGTTAATAATATAGATAATTTTGTTTAATTAAATATATCAGTAATTTCGTAGGACTCTTGAATGGGAGATCGTCTTTATATGAACACTATGTTGGACAGTGTCCATTGTCTGAAGTACACATGACGTTTTGGGAATTAGCTCTACTCCTGTCTTTGGCTGATTGACATTTTTTTGTGTTATTAGTGACAAAGTTGGGGAGCGAGCTCGGGACCTTACGAATACTTAGCCAATATGTTAACCACCACAGCACCATGGTGTTCGTGCAACAAACCAACGATACTCACAAACCTTTAAATAATCATTAGGTTCGGCATCTTCCTACACCCTACGGACGACAATACGGTAAAATGCGGATATACATTCATTTCCCAACTGAGGGTGAACACAGTGCTCACACAATCGTCTGAATATATTCGTATTTTAAGTGATTATCCATGTATTTGTTGTTTTAACGATACAGTACACAGCTCAGATTATAGCCTGGAGCAGAAAATGGTTAGCTGATTAATGAATACCGAATCGGGAAGGATGTGGAAGGAAATAGTACTATCTCACAACTTACCTGGCTAGACCTGGAAAATTGCCGAATACCTCAGTTAGGCTAGGCGATCTTTGCGCCGAGATTTAAACCCAAAACATCCAAAATCTTAAATAGGTACAAAAACCACTCAGCCGCGACCCTCGGTTCATACTTTATTTGAAAACTTGCTGATATCAGTATTGTCTTCTTACTGAGTTCATGTTGCTAGTACTAAGGACTCAAATCCTTAGGCATGAAATTACTAGCAAAGTCAGAGTTACGGAAGATAAGTTAATTACAAGTACTAAACATGGGCGACGAGAAAAGGAGGGGTAACTTGAATGAGAATCGAATTAACTTCCTACAAAAATCAGCTTAATTTTCTCTCGGCACCAATGCGTAGTCAGAAGACACTGTGCAGACAGGCAGTCCAGACGTGACTGTCAATTGTTATTTTTGCTGCAGTGACACCATCCACAGACTACCAATTGTTTTGTCCTTTCTTTCACATCTTTAATTCTCTTTTCTCTTCCCTCAAGTTTAAATTAACGAACACCACCATGCTGCACAAACTCAAGTCGAATTTGGAGTCGTGCTAAGACTTAATCAGCAAGAAAACAAAACCTGACTGATTTCACCAATGTTTGGGGTCGTCGAGGCAACGGTCACGTTGCGAGCGCCTCGTCGTCCGTTCAGGACTTCAAGTGCAAGCATACCTCTGAAAGCAAATGGCTGTCTGTAGCCCTAAGTCCCTTCAAAGCTTACTTGTCCGTATGGAATTTGTGGTGGACAAAGTCATATCCGGGCAGGTTTTTCTCCGAGTCCCGTAATTTTTCCTGTCA